TCACTTCTCGTCCGCGAATGAAATGTCCGCACACCCGCTCCCCCCGCTCCTCACTTCTCCCCCTTGCCTAACCAACACTGTAGTTAGTTGTTTACAAGTCATGTGCAGCGCACCGGCTGTAAACAAACCTGTTTCTGGCGTAAAGAGGAGGCGGGAGAAGGCGTTTCTACGTAGGAGCTGTAGGGGAGGGGGGTGGTTTCACGCATGCGCAACATTTGAAAAAGGACAAACAGTCGCTGGATTTCTTGTTCCTTGGAAAATCCTCTATACAACCTTTAAGCTGATAATGGAACTAAAAAATGTAATTCCTCCATGTTTGTAAGTTGTATATTTTCTTAAATTATTTCATATAAACATATTACTCTGTGATGAAGTAACATTGATGAGGCATTTTCTAGAGCATGTGGTCTATTGGGTCCAACAGACTTTCTCCGGGCTACAGTGAGCCTCAGTCTGTCCCAGTCCCAGTGCCTCCATATGGGTCTCTGTCACAGCCATGCGTCTGGTCACCACGCTGGACTCAACACCCCCTCATGAAACTTTTTCTTAGCTGAAAATGTTCTTCTGTAAGAACAAATCCTAAGAACAGACAGAAATTCTATGAAAGAACAAAAATTATACTGTTTTACAATATTATCACTCTGATAATGCAACTAAAAATTATAATTCCTCCATGGTTGTAAGATATATATTTTCTTAAATTATTTAGTATAAACATATTACTCTGTGATGAAATAACATTGATGAAGCATTTTCTAGAGCATGTGGTCTATTGGGTCCAACAGACTTTCTCCGGGCTGCAGTGAGCCTCAGTCTGTCCCAGTCCCAGTGCCTCCATATGGGTCTCTGTCACAGCCATGCGTCTGGTCACCACGCTGGACTCAACACCCCCTCATGAAACTTTTTTCTTAACTGAAAATGTTCTTCTGTAAGAACAAATCCTAAGAAAAAGAACACAAATTCTACTGTTTTAGAATATTATCACTCTGATCATTCAACTAAAAATTCTAATTCCTCCATGACTGTAAGCTATATATTTTTTATTATTATTTCATATAAACATATTACTGTGTGATGAAATAACATTGATGAAGCATTTTCTAGAGCATGTGGTGTATTGGGTCTAACAGACTTTCTCCAGGCTGCAGTGAGCCTCAGTCTGTCCCTGTCCCAGCGCCTCCATATGGGCTGTTGTCACAGCCATGTGTCTGGTCACTGGACTCAACACCTCATGCATCACAAAACTTTTTCTTAACTGAAAATGTTCTTTTGTAAGAACAAATCCTATGAATAGTCAGGAGCACTTGTAAGAACAAAAAAATCTACTGTTTTAGAATATTATTACTCTGATAATGAAACTAAAAATTATAATTCCTCCATGATTGTAAGTGATATATTTTCTTAAATTATTTCCTATTAACATATTACTGTGTGATCCAATGACATTTATGTGGTGTTTTAGACTTTATACGGGCTGCAGTGAGCCTCAGTCTGTCCCAGCCTGTCCTGGACTCATCAACCCCACCACCCCCCTGACCCACGACGAGCAGAGCGCACTCTTATGCAACCCCAGCCAAGCCCCCTCCTCGCTATTTACTGCAGGTTCGCGATCAGGGAAAGCGCGATAAATCCGATAAAAGCAGGCCCTTATTTCAATAAATTTATGAGTTAAATATTCCCTTCTTGAGTGTGTTCATGTGAGTTTGGACATTTGAAATCACCGCTGAAGCTGTAAAATACTTCCTCAATCACTCCCTTTCACTTTCACGTGTCATAACCCATGCCAAACCCAAATTGCCCATATTTGGAAGTTCAGAGGGCGTTTCTAACCAAATACATTTACATTTTCTATGTAAATTAATTGTAAATGAGCGTGTAGATATTCGTAGCTGGGTGTTGGTGAATTCGGCACAACTGTCTCTTAAGAAAGAATTTGGAAGTGTAAGAATGTTTTGTGAATCTGGTGCAGTGTTTTTCTCAGCATCTTCATGAAGTGGAAGTTCTGAACATTTTTTAAGAAAAGATTCATAAATGAAGCCCAATGATCTCAATCGTGTTTTAGTCAAATGAGTAGTTCAAGCTGTCATGGGCACTTTAAGTCTCCATCCTCTGCATTTGACCCACCCTTCAGCGGCGCAGCACCCATAGGACCCATCTGTAGGCCTTTCACTGCAGACACCTGTGTTCCTTGGGGGAGATTTGCTCGTTTTCGCTCGTCTCTTTACGCTCTTGTGTTCAAATGTTTCTTAGTGACCCTCATTTTCTCTTCTCCTCCATCTGTCTCTTTCCAAGCGCCTGACAAAAGCTCGCTCGGGACAAATCTCTCCAAACAATACGGTGCGCCTCTCCCTCCGTCGCTCCCTCGCTCCCCCGCTCACCAGCTCGCGCACGTACGAGGAGAAAAATGAGACGCAGTTAGCTAGTCGTCAGCGTGTCACAACAAAGAAAGGAAATGTTTTTTTTGCAAATGAGCAGTGAGTGGTTATCTGTGTCTGTCTCGGAGGACAAAAGGTCAGTCCAACAGTCTTCCATCAATGACCGGGACGAGGCAAAGCGAGGACATGCACGACGCTATTATAGGCTTCAGTTTTGATCTCGATGAAAAATATTTTGGTAATGCTCCTGAAATTTGAGAAACGGTGTCTTCCAAAAGCACCATAGCTTGAAAATGTGGAAAAGCAGTTCATTTTAAAGGTTCTTGTGAGCTTCACGTCGAGTTATAATGTTGTTACCTCCTCAAAAACAAACCTGGTGTTGTGTTTTGTTCATTCACACGTGTTTTGAGCATTCAACTCTCAACTTTCAACTTTGTGCAGAGGTGGGGACTTGCAATCCGTGACTTAGACTCGAGTCACTATTTTTCGGACTTGAGACTTGACTTGATAAAATGGACTAAGACTTGGGACTCGATTTGGACTTGAATGTCAGTGATTTGGGATTTGACTTGGGCTTGAGACCTGTGACTTGATGCTTCTCCTAAAAATAAATGTTTTTAGAAAATACTTTTGTCTTTTCAGTTGATAAATGTGGTGCTAAATTTTACAGGAACAAACTGGAACATGTCCCTCCCACTTCTCTGTTTGTTACTTTGGATGTAACTGAAGTACTGTGATGTAGTATCCTCAAATGTACTACAGTAATATTCAGTACAAAACAGAGGGAACTACACAGAACATGATCCTTCATGAAAAAAATAACTGTTATTAAGATCTTTTAAATCTGAATTCTTTTTATTCTGACGGTAATGATTCGCACTAAGATCTTGTCAAGACATTTTAAAAGGAAGAATTAGCATTTCTACAACTCTTAAGAACGAATCGTTTTAAAAGAAGCTTTGTTCCGGCTGCTATCGTAATTATGAAGAAACTGAAATCTATTTATCTATCGAGTTTAGTACATCTGTCTTGGAAAAATTGTGTGTTTTTCTTTTTTTTAATATATATATATTAAAAAAAACTGACCAGTGTAGGATTCTAATGCACACTTTCTTCATGTTGTGCTTGGACTACAAACCAAAAAACAAGATGGCAGACTCAGAAAACCGATTAGACGGATGTTATTGAATTTGTATCGAATTTTATGGAGATTACCTCTGAAATTCAGTGGCGTAACATATCAAGAAAATATAACAGATCGAAAAAAAAATGAACATTACATATCTAGAACCAAACTGAAAACTGTCTAAAAAGATATAAAGATATTGTTGTGGAAAAAACATATATATCTCTTGAAGATAAATAATGAATCCATCTGTGAACCCCAATGAGTTTTTAGAATATAGACCAAAGTTTATTCTTGTTACAGCAGATATGGACAGGGCCTAGTCCTGCCCTGGCCACAGCCCAACAGCCTCTCTCCACCAGTAGTATCTCCCTACCACATCTTGCCCCATCTTCCAAGTCTCTCTCCAGTATCTCCCCAGAGCATCTGAGCTCTGAGTATTTATCCAGAAATACAAGTTACATACATATCAGTTTGAGTTGATGCCATCAGGCAGAAGGTACAGGGTCCCAAACTGTAAACTGAACAGATTCAAACATTCTTTTGTGCCACTAGCTGTTAAACTGCTAAACTCAGATAATGCAGTTAAAAAATAATTATAAAAGGCTTAGGGATTGTGCAATCAAAACTGCACATAGGTGTAGGGAATGTGCAATTAAAGCTACACATAGGCTTAAGGAATGTGCAATAATTAAATCTGCACATAGGCTAAGGGAATGTGCAATAATTATAACAAAAACTGCACATAGGCTTAGGGAATGTGCAATCAAAACTGCACATAACTGCACATAGGCTTAGGGAATGTGCAATAATTAATAGAACAGAAGAATGCAAGGGTTTGCCTGTTAAGGATAATTTAAGCGTCCTGTTGGTGCATCACTCGTGGTCATACTGGTCTCATATTTACTTTGTTTTATGGTGTTTGTTTATGTGCTGCTTTGTGTTGTGTTGTCCTGTTTTTTGATAAAACATGTTACCCCCTGTCCCAAGACAAATTTCTCCCAAGGGAGACAATAAAGGATTATCTTATCTTATCTTATCAAAGCAGAGTGACTTTGGTTTCAGAGGCTGGTTCTAAATGAACATACAGTTGAGGACAACAAAGAGCTTCCTGAAGGAGGAGACGGTTGTGTCTGATGAGCTTTTACACATGTTCATGACTGGTCTGGGTTTCAGGTAGAAATCACATTCATTTACACATAGACAGATTGAAAGAAATCTTTCCACGATCTAAATTTCTATCACAATATCTTTGCAAGTACTGTATGCTTTAAATTGAGTGTACAGAATATAGACTCTATATACCCAGGAAATACTATCAAAAAGCTGAAAAAGTTGATTTAGCATAATATGTGTTCTTTAAGTAAACTCTGCCCTCCGTGTGTTACCATGGAAAATGTCCCTCCAAAACAATGTACACATTTCTGACTAACCAAACTCTCAGCACATCCATATCCAACTGGTTTGTATCACTTTGTAATGATGCTCTTGTTGCCTAGGTGACAGAGACCCGGACCGGTCCCCTCGGATGCAGTAACTATGACAACCTGGACTCAGTCAGCTCTGTCCTGGTCCAGAGTCCCGAGAACAAGGTCCAGCTGCAAGGTACTGGCATCAATTATTCACCGCTGCATTACATTAAACCGTGTGAAGGTCCATCTGTACGCAGGAAATGACTGGAATCCACAATATTACACGTGTTTGGACACAAATGCATTTTTTATTATTTAACGTAACAGTAGAAGGGTTCATGAAATACTGGAAAAGGAAAGTCAATAAAAATATCTATCGAATTCTACTAAAATTCAAATTATTTCTGTGCATTTTTGCTTTGTTATTCGTTGGGGGGCGATTGTTGACTTTCCATAAATGCAAACACCATTAAAAAATCTTCCAATATTTCAATCCTTTAATCTAAAACGGGTCTCTTTTTTAATACAACCATGTCAAGAAATCAAGAACTTCAATATTTTGTTCCAATTTTAGACCAATCATGTAACTTTTATCACTAAACAAGTTATAAAAAAATGGCTCTTTTTCTCAATTTGGGTGTTGCATTTGCACTTTTTCATTCGTCCTTACTGCCTTACTGCGAGTGGGCTTGCATCTCCACAAACCTGACTCTTATTTGGTCTGGACTTTGACTACTGTATCCCACGGTGTCTATTTATTTACATTATTCCACAGTGTATATTTATTTTGGAGAATGTTTGACTTTTGCTTCATGCTTATTACGTTTTATTTTTTAATACAACTCGACAAACTGTGAAATATTTGAACACACATATTACAAATAGATAATGGAAGAAGGGGAAAAATTAAAATGAGTTAAGAGCAAAGATGCCCTGACACATTATTGTAAGCAGTAATCAATGAGATTTGATGACAGAAATGAGTCTGGTTATGATCAGTGGTGGAACGTAAGGAAGTACAAGTAAAAGTACAATACTCAAGTACAATTTTTTGGTATCTGTACTTTACTTAAAGGGCCATTGCGCAACTAAAGGTTGGAGGTCCACTACCATGGATTTTCTACTGTATGGTATGAAACTCGTATGAGATGCATTTATTCAATTATGGGTGTTTTTATTGATTAAAAAATAGAATAAAAGAGGCATTCTGACTGTGAGTGGGGTCACCTCTTCACAGATCTCACCTGTAAATTGGACCAGTAAATTGGTCCCTTGCTAGTTTCTATGGAGACTGAGAAGTTTAATGGCATAATTTGGAATATTGAAGGTAAAGCAATAACATCTCCATGGAGACAAGTGACTGGTGGGCCCATCCATACATTTTCTTCCTCTTATCTGGGACCGGGTCGCAGGGGCAGCAGTCTAAGCAGGGACTCCCAGACTTCCTTCACCCCGGACACTTCCTCCAGGGGGACCCGAGTCGTTCCCAAGCCAGCCCAGAGACATAGTCCCTCCAGTGTGTCCTGGGTCTTCCCCGGGGCCTCCTCCAGGTGGGACATGCCCGGAACACCTCCCGTGGGAGACGTCCAGGAGGCTTCCGGAACAGATGTCCGAGCCACCTCAACTTGCTCTTCTCATCGTGAAGGAGCAGCGGCTCTACTCCGAGCTCCTCACCCTATCTCTAAGGGAGCGTCCAGCCACCCTGCGAAGGAAACTCATTTTGGTTGCTTTTATCCACGATCTTGTCCTTTCGGTCATTACTCAGAGCTCATGACCATAGGTGAAGGGAGGAACGTAGATTGACGGTAAATCGAGTAAATCCCTCTTCACCACAACGGTCCAATTCAGCGACCGCATCATTGCCGACGCTGCACCGATCCACCTGTCAATCTCACGCTCCATCCTCCCCTCACTCGAGAACAAGACCCCGAGATACTTGAACTCTCCAGCCACCCTCAGAGGAAAAGCCACCTTTAACAGTCAAGAACCATGACCTCGGATTTGGAGGAGCTTATGTACATCCCTGGCAGTCCCTCTCCAGAAAAGTTACACAGTGCACCTTTTAAGTACATTTTACAGTGGCTACTTTTTATTTTTACTTCACTACATTTGCGAGCACGTATATGTACTTTCTACTCCACTACATTTTAGATCTGAACTGAAAAGACTCAGCTGAATCAGACGTATTTTTAGCATAATTCATTTAAGTTTTTGTCCCAACTTTGAGCAAACCAAATGCACAAAAAACACAAAAACAGCTACGGAAATTAAGAAATCAATTGAATCACTTAAAAACAGCGAAGGTCTTTACCAAAATCACTACATTTCATCCTTTAATTCTTCAAAAAATCTCTGCAAAACACTTTTTACTCTTAAAGTAAATTTTTATCAGGTACTTTAATACTTTTACTTACTTTTACTTGAGCAACTTTTTGCCCTTGTATCTGTACTTTTAATTATTAAGTAACAAAATCGAGTACTTCATCCACCACTGGTTATGATCTATGAACTTAAAAACTGAACACCCACGTATTTTCTTAGGCTCTGAGGCAAAGAACTTTTCACAGATGATTAATGAAACCAACGTGAATGACTCAAAATACAAGTAAATTTTGTGTAATATGTTCATAAATCAGTCTTAAAATTGGAAATCCGCAGTTGATTCATTGACTTTATGTGTTTTTGTGTTCAGGTCTGCAGATGATCCTGCCGGACTACCTGCAGGAGAGCTTCGTCCACGCGGCGCTCAGCTACATCGCCTGTAACGGAGAGGGGGACTTCATGTGCAAAGACAACGACTGCTGGTGCCACTGCGAACCACAGTTCCCAGAATGCAACTGTCCCTACATGGACATCCAGGCCATGGAGGAGAGTCTGCAGAGGATCACCCAGACCTGGACGCTCATCTACAAGGAGTTTGAGGAGTCAGGTACGGCTGGGTTTGTTTTAGAGACATAAGCAACGACATTAGGCTCCATTTATGAAGCGTTCGTAAACATTTTACACGTAACATATTTAAATAATTTGTTTTCAAAATAAAACCAAAAATAAGAAAACGAAAAAGCAACTATTTTCTTTATTATTTGTCTCCAAAACCAAAATGAAAAAAACAAAACAAAACAGATAACGGTTCATTTTTTTCAGTTTTTCGATTTTGCGTTTAAATGAATAATTGAGTCCTGATCTTGTCCCGGTCTGGTCCCGGTCTCAGTCCTGGTCTCAGTCCTGGTCTCAGTCCTGGTTTCAGTCCTGGTCTCAGTCTCGGTCTCAGTCCCGATCTCAGTCCTGGTCTCAGTCCTCGGTTTCAGTCCTGGTCTCAGTCTCAGTCTCAGTCCCGATCTCAGTCCTGGTCTCAGTCCTGGTTTCAGTCCTGGTCTCAGTTCTGGTCTGGTCCCAGTCTCAGTCCTGGTCTCAGTCCCAGTCTCAGTTCTGGTCTGGTCCTGGTCTGGACCCAGTCTCAGTCCCACTCTCAGTCCTAGTCCCAGTCTGGTCCCGGTCTCAGTGCGGGTCTGGTCCGGGTCTGGTTCTGGTCTCAGTCCTAAACCAGGACTAAAGAACCAGGACTGAACCAGGACTGAGTGTCGGGACAGGCCTGGAGCTGCGCCCGCATAGACTGTCGGTGATCAGAACTGAGACCGGGACCAGACTGGGACCAGACCGGGGACTGAGACGTGGACTGAGACCAGGAATGAGACCAGGACTGAGAACGGTTTAGTCCTGGTTTAGTCCTGTTTTAGTCCTGGTTCAGTTCTGGTTCAGTCCGGCATCACAGTTTAAATCATGGAAACGGGAAACGTTTTTTCCATTATTCATTTAAACCCAAATTCGAAAACTGAAAAAAGGAATTCTTATCCGCTTTTTCATTTTGGTTCTGGAGACAAATAATGAAGAAAACTGTTCCTTTTTCATTTTCTTATTTTTGGTTTTATTTTGAAAAATGAATAAACGAATGATCCACGGATTTATTTCGAACACTGTGTGACCTTTTAGTATTTTGACTACGTTCAAAAAAAGGTTTGTCAAGTTGTTGTGTACAGTTTTGTATCATGTTTTTGTATATTTATGGAGAACTGTCATGTGGGAGCTTGGGTGACGTTGGCTTGTGTGTGGAGCATTGCACAGAATCTTACAGTTAACCATAAGGAAAGTTTGAATAGAGCCCTGAGGAGATCACTAGATTACTCAAACATGCATGGATGACTCTAAAACCTTTCCAGACATGTTTTTGATGAGGGAAGTTGGTTGATGAAGAACATGACCAAAAAAAAACCCCCCAAAAACTGCATAATAACAATTTAAGAAACAAATGTGGAGTTAAAACCTTCTTAGGAATGAATATTTTAGGCATTCACAATTTTTTTTCTTGACTAAAAATGTTCTTCTGTTGAATGTATTTGTTTGGAGGATAAGCCCCATCTCGTTTTCGAGGGGGTCCTCCTAGTTACAAGAGCAGAAGACAGATACAGCAGGGCAGAAAGTCGGCTACATAAATTCAAATAAACATAGGGAAAAAAAATTTAAAAAATCAACACAACCACACACACACTCGCTCACACTTGACTGTTAGGCACATACTAAATCAAATTTTAACAAAAACTAAGACAGAGTTCAAATATTATCACAAAATACAACGAGATTAACAAAAAATTAAACAAAAATATCAAAAAAAACCAACAACAATTACACAGGTTATGGAAATATTCTAGAATGAACAAATCTACTGTTTGAGAATATTATTACTCTGATAATGCATCCAAAAATTCAAGTTCTTGCATGAATTGTGAGCAACACATTTTTACAAATAATGTTATATAACAATAAAAATAAATTAAAAAAGAGTGATGTGGTGTAATATATAGAGCATGTGCGAAGTCTAACAGGATGTTGTGTTCTGTTTCTGCCTGAGGACTGCACATGCACATGAAAGGAGCTTGTAGCTAAATCTGGAGCAGAGCATCTTTTTTTTTCTCTGAGATTAATGTTTCTGTGCACTGTTCTCATTTGAAATAAATAAATAAATACATAAATAAATAAATAAATAAATAAATAAATAATAACAATAACGTTCAGCAGTCACAGCCGTCTGTCCCAGCCCCAGTTCTGATGTATGATCCACTGTTATAACCTCTACAGGACCCAACTGTACAAAAACTCACCCTTATGTCACAGATAATACTCCCTACAACTGTACAAAAACTCACCCTTATGTAACAGATAATACTCCCTACAACTGTACAAAAACTCACCCTTATGTAATGTAATACTCCCTACAACTGTACAAAAACTCACTCTTATGTAACAGATAATACTCCCTACACCTTTATGTAACGGATAATACTCCCTACAACTGTACAACAACTCACTCTTATGTAACAGATAATACTCCCTACACCTTTATCTAACAGATAATACTCCCTACACCTTTATGTAACAGATAATACTCCCTACAACTGTACAACAACTCTTATCTAACAGATAATACTCCCTACACCTTTATGTAACTGATAATACTCCCTACACCTTTATGTAATAGATAATACTCCCTACACCTTTATGTAACGGATAATACTCCCTACAACTGTACAAAAACTCACCCTTATGTAATGTAATACTCCCTACAAGTGTACAACAACTCACTCTTATGTAACAGATAATACTCCCTACACCTTTATGTAACGGATAATACTCCCTACAACTGTACAACAACTCACTCTTATGTAACAGATAATACTCCCTACACCTTTATCTAACAGATAATACTCCCTACACCTTTATGTAACAGATAATACTCCCTACAACTGTACAACAACTCACTCTTATCTAACAGATAATACTCCCTACACCTTTATGTAACTGATAATACTCCCTACACCTTTATGTAATAGATAATACTCCCTACACCTTTATGTAACGGATAATACTCCCTACAACTGTACAACAACTCACTCTTATGTAACAGATAATACTCCCTACAGCTTTATGTAACGGATAATACTCCCTACACCTTTATGTAATGGATAATACTCCCTACAACTGTACAACAACTCTCCCTTATGTAACAGATAATACTCCCTACAACTGTACAACAAGTACAACAGTTGTGATGTGTGAGCTACTGTGTCCAAATAATTTCCCTTGTGGGTAAGTAAAGTTTTATTTTTGCCCTTAGGCAAGACACTTCAACCACTTTGGTTACTGTGGTGTTGTGTCTGAATTTTGGTGGTGGTCCCAGGGCAGCTGTGGCTACATTAGCACCATCACAGAGAGTGAGTAAGTGAATCAATATGGAAGCACTTTGAGAGGCTCTGACAGGTTTGTAACACGCATAACAAGCGCTGTTATTTTTATTAAAGCGAAAGAAATCCACTAATGAACTGACACGTCCTCAGAGGAATCGGATAATCAGATTTCTGTGCCTGTAAAAATACATCAAAAATCTGATCTGATTTAACGTTAACTTTATTCATCCACAAGGGAAATCATTTAACACAGAAGCTCACATGTCACAATATATAAAGAAGACAGCGATATAAGTGCTATAATAAATCCAAAATAAGTAGCAAGAGATTGGTGTCATGTACGAGGTAAAAAAAAAAAAAGAAATACAGTATAAAATTGTGATCTGTGTGCTTATGTAAGTGGACTGTTTGTCGGTGGGATTTACATTGTATTAGGTTGAATGACAGCATCGTCGTTCCCGCCTCCACAGAGTCGTCGAACATCACACTGAGATCATCCTGGCGTCTATGTGCGCTGTTTAACCTGGAAATACATTACACGAACGTTCTCTCCAGCCATTACACAGACGGGGAACAGATCGTACATTATGACACGCGCTCCGTCTCGTCTGAACTGAACAAACCGAACGGCCGGGCAGATTAAAAGCGAACCAACAGCTTTAGCGCAGGTAGTTTACAAAATGTCCGCCGTGGATTATGGACGCCGATTTGCATAATGTTGTGATATCGGTGCATCTGCGCTCGCTCTTTGCCAAGGTGATTAGAACTGGTTTGAAGTCCAAATCAGTTCATTGCAAATTTAGTTGGAGATATGACAAGTGCAATTAGTTGTGTGTGTTTTAATTTTAATGTGACAGATGATGCAGGAGCGGTAACGACGTGCAGGTTAAAGGTGCAGTGTGGAACTTTCTTTCTGTCCAAGTCATACTGTCAGTTATTACAGTCAAAGTATTTTTTATGGAAATGAGCAGGAGGAGGCCTTCATCCAGGTCAAAAGAGTCAGGTTTGTGGAGATGCAAGCACACTCACGGTAAGGATGCACATTTTCAATAAAGACACTGAAAAAAAAACAAAAAAAAACATAATTTTGGTTAAAAAGTTACTATTTTTTGGAATACAGCAGTTACTATTACTATTGCTGCTACTACATGTACTTAGGTCCGGACAAAATATTAACGGCAAAAGGACTACTACTACTGCTACTGCTACTACTATTATTACTACTACTGCTGCTACTACTACTACTGCTATTACTACTGCTACAACAACACCTACTACTACTACTACTACTAGTACTACTACTACTACTATTACTACTGCTACTACTACTACTATTACTTTTACTACTAATACTAATACTACTGCTACTACTATTACTACTACTATTGCTACTACTACTATTACTACTGCTACTACTACTGCAGCTACTACTACTACTACTATTACTACTAATACTAATACTACTGCTACAACAACACCTACTACTACTACTACTAGTACTACTAGTACTACTACTACTACTACTACTATTACTACTGCTACTACTATTATTACTACTACTACTGCTTCTATTACTACTGCTATTACTACTGCTACAACAACACCTACTACTACTACTACTACTACTACTACTACTAGTACTACTACTACTACTACTATTACTACTGGTACTACTACTGCAGCTACTACT